GGAGCGTCAACGGTAGGCCTATACTTCTTTATTTTCTCTCTTATTTCTGACTTTCAGTCTTGCTTTTTTACCCAGCACTAAATAACCTGTACATATATTGTATTGATGCGCATCTCTTCACTTAAACCAAACAAAAGCATGATAATATACTACCGTACCGTGTTTGAGTAATTTGTTTCGGTCATAACTCTGCTTTAAAGTCGAACAGAAAATCGATAAAAGTAGGCTTCGGTCGCAACCCGAGCGAAATTCAGAATTTCCTACAAACTGAAAATGTTTAATTAATTGTCCCGTGCCTTCATATGACCTTATGCAGGTGCGAGCGCGTAAAACACTGACAAAATAAAAAGAAAGAAAAAAGTCGTAGCCATTTTATTCAAATGCTATGCTGTGGAATCTACTCTGACGTTTGTCTTCATATTAAGTACTTTATTTTCAGCAAAAAGTGACTTATACCCCTTATTTACTGACCCATTCCATTCCTTTTTAACTTTTAGGCTCGTAACGCACACCACAACTGTACCTAGTATTTTACTCTGTGTGTGCATAATTAAAACAAGTCCTGGGGATGGTAAAGAAGGGCATGGCTTCATGAATTAATAAGACACATCGTTTCCTCGGAATCACAAGGCTCTACGTCTGATATTTTTGGCCGTTTTGAATAACTAAGACCATGAATTCAGAAAACAAATTTTCTACCTGCTCTCAAAATCATATGATTACCCGGAGTTGTTATCAAAATATTCAAAGAACTGCATCCGAAAAAGCTTGACATGAGGTGAAACTCAACATTTCTGACGTCATATTTCTCAAAACTAGGTATTGAGCAGATATAACATTGTAATTATAGTGTAGCAACATAACGAATAGATTTTCAGGTTCCAAATTCTTTCTTATACATGTGTTTATTAATATTTGTATTTAAAACACATTCATAACGAAATTCGTACATAACGAAAAATTTCCGCGTCCTGCCGATTTCGTTATGTGTGTGCTAGACTGTAGATTCAAATGGCTTTATCTTGACCACTTTCGACCACTCACGGACATAGTTGGTGAGCATCTCCCTGACTCTGTCCTTCCGCATCTGCTCCACCTCCACAGCGGGCTTGCCGTTGATCTCATGCGGGGCAAACTCCATGGGCGGCATCATGTGACTCAACGCGTTCAGAAGCTCAAGACCGTCCAGCATCGTGTCGTTGTTGGTGTCGTGAAGTCTGTGGGAAGAAAAGAGTTAAATAAAAGGGTGACAAAGTAAGAAGAATTTTTTAATGACCATAAATTCAACATTATGTGAAGCTACACGTATGGCACCTCACCAGCTTGCCAGTAAAGCGTATTAGAAAAACAATATCAGGGTACTAGGCAAGAGGAAGACCGAGGAAGACATAAGAAAACCTGGATCGAGGGTGTGAAAGATACCCTGAAAACATGCAACATTACACCCAGCCAGGCCATCCAACTTAATAGAGACAGAAAGCTTTTTCTCCCCTAGAGATACAAGAGGACGGACAAAAATAAAGTAAGTAAGTGTTAAGTTACTGAGAAAGGGGGGGGGTGGTTACTCAGAATTACCTATGAACCACTGTGTTTCTCATTTATTCAAAGTGTTCTATGGGAAGTTGCGTTAAACGATTGTCTCTGTTCTTGGACGAATGCTTCTTGAAAACCCTTATTTCATATGTTGTGTTCTCTCGCATGGATTACTGCAACCCCCTGCCAAAAAACAACAACAAACAAAAACAAACAAACAAACAAACAAACAAACAAACAAACAAACAACGCACCCCCAAAGGGCAACAACAGCAAAAAACAAAAACTTGAATAAACCAAACAGTACAAAAACAATCACAACAAATGAAGAAAAAAAAACCCAAAACAAAGCCACAACAAATAAGACAGAGAGAGAGAGAGAGAGAGAGAGAGAGAGAGA